ATCCTGTGGGTTGGGTGTTTGATAATGTGGGGAACTCAAGGGTCCCAAGGAATTTTCAGGGGTTGATAGAAAGTGGGATTTATGCAAGATTGGAAGAAGAAATTATGGCAAGGAAATTTAAGTTGAGGGAAATTCGGGTTGGGACGAGGGTACAGGAGAGCACGCAAAGTTCGAAAGGCGACAGTATTGTTACGGTGTTTGTCCTTTACGCTGTTTTAATCGGGTTATCCGTAATTAAGTTCGGTATTGAGGTTTTGCGAAGTACATATTGTGAAGGTAGGCTGAGTAATAAATATTAGATAGTTTCATAATGAATAGAAACATTTATAGGATTACGGGCCGATCAATATTTACATATCGGTAATTATAAATTAAGTAAGCCCTAAAATTGTCAATTTAGGTCTTCTTTTGTGCTAGCTGGGCTAATTAGGCAAATGAGAATGAGGTTTCCAGGTGTATTACTATGTAAAGACTTTGTTATGGATGCTGAAACATGTTAAAAACGAAGAATGCATATTTCTATTTACTCAATTTTTTCATGTTCTGCTACTGTGCTAACAAGGGAACATACTGAGGTGTCCAACTAATTGAGTGTCAAGATACCTATACCAAAATGACCACGATACATGACATGACTTGTCCAACAAACTGAAGGAGTTTCCGTGTAAAATTCACTTTTCGTCAAGTTGTGACAATATTTGTGACGAGCCTATGACCATCAGCAAAATTATTAGATACAAATCAAAAATATAGCATACTATTTTCTGGAGAAATTTTTAACGTTTCTTGCCTGATCAGTGAAATTTCGGGAATTTTCAAAAAACTGTTCAGAATGTATGTTTACTTGTATTAAAAATTCAACTCTTTGTGATCAGCTTTAAGTAAATTTTTTGAAAATCCATAAAGCATTTCAAAAGTTATGGCGGTTTACAGTACAAAATGCAGCAAATTTGGCCACACCACGAGTTAGCGTCAAACATGAGTTTTACATGGAAATATGAACGGATCCTAAATCTAGAGCCTTACAATGGTACATTTCTTCAAGCTACACCGGGATCGACTAGCGAGTTATGTCAAAAAGTCAAGCCAAAAATTAGGGGTCACATGACAGTTATCATTCCGTTGGTTCCGTTGGATGGCCCCTTTGAAGAAAAATATTGGAGGTCAAAGTTCACACGAGAGCCATGGTTTTTGCCCAATGGAGAAAAAAACAAGAAAAAATTTGATCAAGAATTGAACTTAACCGCCAGCATTTTTCTTCAAAGGGGTCATTAAAGGGAAAGATAAGTGTTACGTGACTCCTAATTTTTGGCTTGACTATTTGACATAACTCGCTAGTCAATCCCGGTGTGGCTTGAAAAAAGGTTCCATTGTATTGTTAGTGTAGTAAAAATCATTGTAGGTACCCTGCAGGCGGGAAACAGTCGGGGTGTGACCGCCTTGGACACACGTTACATCATGCAAAAAAAGATTTGACTGATTTGACACCGAGACAGTGTTAGGTCGTCGCTACGAAGTGTGAATATATGTAATACTTACCATTATGCGCAGCAAGGGTGGTTATCTTTTTTGCGATTATTTTACTCTGTGATACATAAGCATTACGTACTTATATTACGCCGCTGGCCTGGCAATCTCTATTAATGAGTAGTCTTATCAGCCCACAAAGTGCATACATATGTACGTACTGTAGTCATCAGGAATTTGGATATACACACATACGATGTTATTAAGTCGACGCATTATTCACAATGCCACATCGTGCTTTATGCCGTGAAAAGCTCTACGGAGTGTACATCATACTGATAAATATAATCTCATATGCAGAATATTTTTTCATCACAAGTAATGACCCGTATTGTGAGCTGTCAGCTGCAATAACAAAATAATTTGCATTGTCCTCAAGCGAGAAAGAAACAAAATTAGAACTTTCCACAAACTATGTAGAAGGACCCTTAAAACAATTCAATGGGGGACCAAGTTGACCTCCACGAGTCCAGTGCCACAACGGAAAATTACTTCCGGCTTAACCACTTAATTGTGCACGAAGCTCCTAAAGTTTTCAGACCAGTATTGACCACTCTTCTATCCGCCCACTACGGAAACAACGTGTCGACATTTCTGGCGACTAAGTACGGAAAGAACCTCTTCAAAGATAGTAAGCGAAGGCAACAGAAGAATCTTACTTCAGGGGATGTCACTCTTTGGGACCTTCCACTCATCTTGGACTGTATCGTTTCCATTCAGAAACAACAAAACGTTCAACAGGATAACAAAGATTTCCAGAAATTGAAAGAAATTCGTAACGTGCTGGCACATTCGCCATCCGGAGAGTTATCCGAGGATGATTTCATCAAGGATTTTACAACGGCAAAACACATCCTGGAGAGATTTGGGTACATGGTGACACGCAAAATACAAATCCGAATGACAATGGAGGCACAAAGCGGAACGGATATTTTATCGAGATGCTATAGTCTTTTAAAATTCGGGAATAAATGCTTTATTGATAACAAAGTGTGGAAAGCAATCAAAGCTTACACGGAGGGAATACGGCTCTTGAACAATTATGAGCGCCGTGGCCCTCTCTGGAAGTTGTACGAAGGGAGATCGATCGCTTTTTGCACGCTACCACGACAGTTTTGGAGTTATGGAAAAATGGACGCGAAAACCTTGGTGGCTCTCGACTCTAAAGGAAGTACGGGATATCTTCGGTTAGCTGCGATTTATGATAAATTGGGGAAATTTACCAAGGCCAAGATCAACTATCAGGTGGCTGAGAGGTATGTGATTTTAATGGAAAAATCATGTCGCCGGGTTTGGAGGGATGGTGAGGGATGGGTTTCGAGCGATTGATATGATATACAGAATTTGTGTGTAATTAAACTGACAATGCGATGACGCCAGCGGTCTCGCTCCGATTATGACGAAACGACGATAATTATGCAGCCTTAGATAAATAATTAAACACGTGTTTCAGGATTTTTCATAATGCTCAGTTTAAACGAAATTATGACGAAATCCGTGAGCGAAAATTCCCATTTTCATCGTGACATTTTGCTCGCGAGGGAGAAAAATACAGATTCTCGCTTACGAATTCCATCCTAAATTCACTTAAAAGGCGTGGGCATGAAGTGTTTTTTTTCGATTTGAAATTGCTGTCATAGATTTTCAAATTTTGAAAAATTTTGAAAATTTTGAAAAATGCAACACGCCAGAGATTTTGAAAAATTGAAAGTTTCTGAAAAATATGTTTCTAACATTACGCAATGTAATTATGTGGAAAAATGTTCTTTCATTTTTGAAATCGGGTAAAAATTGAAAAATTAACAGCATTTAAAAAAATCCTGATTTTGTCTGAAATTTTATTTGAAAATTCTGCCACAACTGAAAGTGCGCATTCAGAAAAATGCATAAATTTGGTTCCACTTATTTCCTTGTATGAACAATATAAAATTGGTCCGGTCAAAATCGGAGAAAAACACTTCATGCCCAAGCATTTTACGTTTAAATGAATTTAGGATGGAATCCGTAAGCGAGAATCTGTATTTTTCTCCCTCGCGAGAAAAAAGGCACGGTGAAAATGGGAATTTTCGCTCACGGATTTCGTCATAATTTCGTTTAAACTGGGCATTATGAAAAATCCTGAAACACGTGTTTAATTATTTGTCTAAAGCTACATAATTATCGTCGTTTCGTCAAAATCGGAGCGAGACCGCTGGCGTCATCGCATTGTAAGTTTGCCTAATAAATAAGAATGAGTTGAATTTCAACTGTTTCAAAAAGGTAAATAAAGATAATTTGGTACCCAAACTCTATCGTAAGACTCCACAGTTTATCAGCAGCAGCTAAACGTCATGATACAAAATTTAGTTGCAGCGATGAACTATTTACTGAAAAGCACAATTCCGATAGGAAATCTGCTTCTGTTTACATTATTTTGAGAGTGAAACCAGCTTAAATTCTCCGCTCGTTAAGGTCAAGTTAGCCATACGGGCTTTGCCACGCATGTTAAATACCGTAATGTATGACAGAATCAAGCATCAATGATGAGATTCATATGCACATAATTCAATAAGATAATAAATACACTGTTGTAGCGCAATATGTTCCGTATATGTAAATGTAAGTTCAGTTAACTACTTATGTATATACGAAAAATGAATCCGTGTGAAAAGTGGTGCTTGATATGGAAATACAAAAATACCTGCCAAGTTATTTAATCTCACTGTCCATGGCTTTTATCATGAGAGCTTAACAATGGTTTTTTATGAGAAGGAAGCAACATGACCTGGATTTCAGTTTAATATCTGTTTAGCCTCCATTGATATTTGCAATATTATTGTGCTTATGTTGTCTGAAATTTGCAACCGATTGTGCTGAAGGTTTTTTTTCTACTATTTAATATTTAAAAAATTATGAAATGTAGACTTAAGAAATTTTGCAACAATTTGCAGTTTGCAAAAAAAGTTTGTAATTTGCAAAAAAATACAATTAAGCAATTTAAAAAAAAATTCGCATATTCATGATCCGTATGAAATTACGGATCTATAGTCTATAAAATCATTGAAAAATGCCCGTTTTGAATTAACTTTTGCCAAGTATTTTGCGAGAACATGATTTTTCAGGTGCTATAACAAAGTTTAAGTTTCACTAGATTATCTATCGATTAAGGCTGTTCGGAAGTAAATTGATCTCGTTGGGAATAATAAGTTGTAGTCCAGAATATGGGGAATCCCATGTAGGCAGTTAATCATGAAAAAAAAAATTGTATGCAGGTCAAAAAAATTCGTGAAACAATTCTCAAAATAAATGGAACACCCTCTGTAAAAAGAATGATCAATGTTTGTCGTAAAAAAACCTTGCGTAATGTACTTGGAAAATTGGATCAACAAGTATCTATCTTATCATACATTAACAAACAGGTCTGCAAACAATTAATGTGGAAACATATTTCGTTGAAACTTAAGGCTACTACCTAAATTATTCAGGAAACAATTGTGTTAAGGCAAAAGTTTATCCTAATTTATTTGAGATAAATATGCCCCCATTTCCTACAACCAATTGGACTGACGCAATCAGGTGCATATATAAAGAACGGAGGTATGTCTGACAAACCTCATTAGTCAACTTTCTACGAATCCTGGTCAACATGGTGTTGCGAATATTTTGTTTTTTCGCCGTGCTCTACTCTGCGCACGGCTTCCTGCAGGAGTTGACCTTCTACACAGAACCTGACGCGGGAGGGAATGCGTTCGTGTTCCGAACTAAAGAGCCTGATCTTACGCCACACTACTCGAAATTGTTAAATGGTGTAAAGTCAGTTTGCCATAGAGGACGGTAAATAAAATTCAACAACTTATCATAAAGTAGTTTTTGCTAAACTCATTTGTTGAAAACAAGCGAAAATTTAGAACAATATGGTTTTCTACATTGAATATACATTCATATAGAAGATGTAGAATAATAAGAATGCATAAGCCACATAGAGACCCAAACTGACCAATAGGAAAGGGGACGAGGTTTCGACCCGTCCCACCTAGCGCCTGCCAATAAAAAATACTTTAAATTAAATATTATTTAGGATATCTTTTTTTAATTTTCGGAGTCCGACTTTACCAAAAATGCAGTAAATTGTACAGTTTGTACGCCAAGAGTGAAATCAGTTTATATTTGTGATTGTTTAATAAGCTGAAAAAAATTGAGAGGTTATGGGGAAAAGGTGGAGGAGGGAGGGACAGAAAACCTCGTCCCCCCTTCCTATTGGTCAATTTGGCTCTCAACGTGGCTTATGCATCCGTATGGAGTTGAGTCTTCTAGGTTTTACTTAGGTATCTACTTTTCTCTGGTTTTTCTAGAACTTACAATGGAGAGGTGTAAGGTGGTTAGTACCGATCGAGTTCGACTGCATAAACATTCATTTTTTTTTAATTTCAAAAATTTGATATTTTCACGTTTTTTGGAGTTTTTTAAAAAAAATTTTAAAACTGAATGTATATATCTTCATGGAATTAATTCTGAACAAAAATTGGGTTTAATTTTTTAAATCGGCTTAAAATTCGAATGGTTAGAGCATTTCAAAAAATCCTTTCTTTGGCTGAATTTTTATTTAATTCCGCCAAAGGCGAAAACATGCCCATTCAGGGAAACGCAAAAATACGGGTACAAAAATACCGCTTATTTCTGGGCCAATTAAAATTTCCGGTCTCGATCGGTAATAACCACCTAACACCTCACCATTGTTAGCCAAACATCCCAAATAATTTAACAGTTTCAAGGATAAATAATTATAGTCATACATATGTTCATAGATGGGGAGGGTTTAGTGAAAAAAATTACACTAATTTGTGGACGATATCCGTTCTACATCTTCTGTTCGGTATCTGCTGATGGGACTTTGCTTTGCCGTAATCAAACACTTTTCCGAACAATGAAGTCTTTGAGGTATCTTGGACCATTGGACACAACAATACCTTCCATTTCCATTTATAGCGGGACTGATTCTGACCTTGCTGGTGGGATCGAACGCACTTTTACTGGTTTAGCAGCCAATGATTTTGGTTTCCTTCCTGCTTGGATGCTACTGACAGGAAGGTCAAGTTGGACTGGCTTTTCTAGCCCTGATTTTTCTGGCAACTCGACGTGTTTCTCAACCTCAGAGCTAATGGGAGGGGCCCAGGTAGATGGTAACCCGATGAGGTCATTAATCAAAGGATGTAACTCCAAATATAGGAGTGATTATTGGAATGTAGATAAGCTTACATAGAAGGAATAATGCGCGTGTGTATTTCACGCATATTTATTGTACAAGTTTAAAAAAATAACCTGATAAACGAAATGCTTTGGTGAATAGATGAATTGCAACGAAAAGTTAAAAATAAAATTATTTAAATGTCAAATATTTAAATTTTTTGCAGCACTGCACCCTGCATTTTTGCCACTAATAGAAAAGTTTTAAATATGTCTATAGAGGTTTAAAATACTGTTCACGCAACATTCTCAACACATTCTGAATTTTTGAAATTTTGAATTTTTTCATTTTCTGCAACGGTTTCGGCCAGACTAACAAGGGAAAATACTGAGGTGTCCAACTAATTGAGTGTCGACACCTACATATACCAAAATGACCACGATACATGACTTGAATTGTTCAACAAACTGAAGGAGTTTCCGTGTAAAATTCTCTTTTCGTCAAGTTGTAACGATTTTTGTAACGAGCCTAGGACCATCAGCCGCATAGGGTGGCCGCCTGGTTGGTACGAGAAGTCGGCCGGTGAACATTAAAAATTCAGCCATTTATTTTTTTAAATATAGAATATCTGCAATTTGAACAATTTCAGAGAATTACACAATTTCGAAAAATATGTACATGCATAGGTACAAGTTCAAAAAATCAGTATGATTTAAAAACACAATGTGGCAGATTGTTGATAAATGGTTTGAAATATTGAAGAAATTTTTAATATACCCTGAAATAAGTGTTTATCACGAGTCGCACAATGTTTCTATTAGAAACTTTCTAAATGAGTTTGATCAAGGTAACAAGGTTGTTGCGTTATTTACATATGGCGTTATTTACATAAGTTGCTATAACATGCCACATATGTAAATACGTAGAATGTTGTGTGATAAATTGAAGTAAATATAATACGTAAGTAACTGTTTCGAGTCTCCAATTGCGATGTTGTGTACCTTTACAAGTTTCCATTTGTCTGAATAAACCAAATGTGGCCATGCCAAAGCATTTCCCAAACTTCAAGCTGAGAAGCCTCCAAAGAAATAATTGTTTTCCAAATGGCCACATATGTATGCGACACTAGTTCTCCAAAATTTTGTCAGCCCATCTTCAATTGCGCTAGGATGGTTGGACTTGGGGAGATATCCACATCAAAAGAGACCAGGTCGAGGCGCATGATGCTGTCGTATGGTTCGGAACCTTGTCCGAGGACGTCGGCAACCCTATTCAAAATCATTTTTCGTGCCTCTATTATGAAACATACTGCATAAAAATATCCATAGTTCTAAGTTTTCGAAATAATGCACAATGGGCCAGGACCTATGATTTGGTGGCCAAAAATACATACACGACGCACTTAAAGTCATAAAAATAATTGGTTGCGTACAAATATAAAGTAAAGTATGGGCTATCTGATTCAATGTTAAGTGGCAACCTGGCACACCCCCAGGGGGTGTGGCCATCAACACCTTCTTTAGTTTAAGTAAACCCAGGCATGCGATATGTCATTCTTCTTGACTTCATGATGGGATTACGGTGCAGAAAACGAAATTCAAAAACCCCATTTCCAGGGGGTGTGGCCATCAACGCAATATTGTCAAAGAGAAACCCAAGCACGCGACATTTCATTCTTCTTGGGTATATCTATTGATTCAGATGGAATGTATGAAATTCCAAAACCACATTCGAATGTGGGCCATGAGCTTCAAATTTCAAAATTTCAAAATATTACCAGAGTCACACGCGTCGACAATGGCAAAATTAGCGGACGCTCAATGTGCATTATGAGTAACTAGCGCATAAGCCAGTCTCGCCCGGGCCATAGTAATTTTGATTTCCATGTTCCACCAATTAATACTATTTCTTTCTCTGCATTCACTTCCGTCACGGAAAATTGCTTATAATTTCGTTGCAGACAAACATTTCCAGCTTATAATATGGATTACCAGGTTCAGTGAGTACAAGCTTTCATCAACAAAATCTTGTTATAGATATGTATCTATTTATTGTGCAAATTTTAAACAATTCATTGGTAACCTTAACATTAACAAGAATTCTAAGTTGTGTACCCCTAATAATCATCTCACTCACTCTCATACTGATCTTCCACTTCACTCGAGATAAGGTCATCCAAATGCATAAGCGTCTGTACTAAACCACTATGGTCGACAGAATCTTCTTCGTCCGTACCGGAGGACAAATCTTGATCGTCCTGACTTCCAAACATATTTATGGCATACTTGAATAAAAATAATTCAACTTAAATCGTCGACCGTCACGTTCCCCCTCACTTTAAATAAATTTTCGGAAACGCGCATACCTAAGTAGCATCAAATTCACTTTACCCCAACCACTCCCATCGCAGGAACACTCTATTTCACTGTATTTCATCGATAAATTAAATTTCAGTGAAAATCCTATTTTCCCCCAGACCACACCCCCAAGAACTAAGGGGTGTGGCACAACTCGGGAACACTTAATTTTATCCTATGTTATGTATAGATTAAATTTCACTAAGAATCTCATTTTCCCCAGACCACACCCCCTGTCGCCAAGGGGGTGGTCCGATTGACCCCAAAAGTTGATTGGATCCTCCCCCTGGGCTCATATGTATGATGCCAGTGTTGGTTGTATTTATTAACTTTTACTCTCACGGGTTTAACAAATCCTTTGAACAAAAAAAGACGTACAATCTGATGTACTATATGACTCCGTAAATTTTGAAATTTCGAAAAGGTGGACGATGTCGGGTCTCTATCGTAAACAACAAGACCAGAAGTAACCTATGATAGGACAAGATCAACCGGAACAGCCGGTGGCGAGTGGTGGCGCCCTTTGAAACTTGTTTCCAATCATCCCAATGCTTTCTGAGATTGCTATAGTCCTGTTACTTCAAAGCCAGAGCTCAATAATCAATAGAATTTTACAACAATGTTAATGGACTAATACTCTATTCATTCAGTGCAAAATTTACCCCGTAGTTCACATTCAGTTAATGGCCACAAAATCATAGGTCCTGGCCCATTGTGTAATGGTTTAAAACGATTTTTCCACAAACAACCTTAACATTCTCAAAGAGTTATATTGTACTTTGCAGACTCATGTCAACATCCTTACTTTGCAAAGGAGGAAAATCAAACTATTTGTTTAAGCTAGAAAATTCATGTGATTCAATTCCACAAATTGGTCTCAAGGATCTAAATAAATAGAAGTACAAATGAATGTGTCTGCAAATTACACAGAAATAATATTTACATAAATTTACATAAACTCATACAAACATCCACGCACAAGACTTCAACAGGGGGAAAACGTTTCGAAATATTTAGATGGAAGGCTTTCATTAAGTGTATTTCTAAACTAAACATATATCATTTCATGCCAAACTATGTAAATTGGTATTTATGTGGCGAAGAAATTTAAACTTGTGGATGGCTAGTAACTAATTTTCACAGAACAAGAAATACATATGTAAGAATGCTGGGATAAAACTACACAAACAAGAAACCCGAGAGGGGCAAATTAATATAGGTAATATGGTCATTAGAGCAGCCTTTGTTATCGGACAGGCAGCCGCACTAGCATGGAGTGATTACGAAAAGTATTAAATTAACCAGAGTTTATAACATAATTTCTAGTTCGGTTTAAATATTTCGACCTACATATGTACTGATGGCATCAATTCATACAATGCAGGAAGGTAGTTATTGCTAAATTTAAACTTTTTATAATGTTTCTTCACTACTGAAACGTACCTCAGCCTCGATGCTATTGTATCGGAGTTTCTTTGTAGTTGAGAATTTACATAAGTACGAAAATTATTCAGGATACATAGTAAAAAAAGGAGTGTTGGGCACTCTTATAAATAATTCTATATCTCTGAAAAGTGAATGCTAGCAGAATTATGTATTATGGAATTATACCAATTTAAGAATAAACTTTACTCTGCATCGAGTCATCACGATTCTGGATTAGAGACAAATAATTTACTTAATATATAATTCAGACTGCGTTTACGTTTACCACCTAGAACTGTAAAGAATAGTGCAAACGGATGAATTTTACAAGGAGATTAGAGTTTAGTGGGTTGGACACTTTCTCTAATCAATGCGAACAACATTTCGGTTGAAAAATATCCATCGGAATAGAATAATTCAGATTCGTTACGGATGAATTCTTGTAAGTCCGAAGACTACTAAATAAACGAATACTACATATCTACAACTAGTAACAGTATTTGTGTCAGAAAATTAGTCAAAATAGTACAAACTCAATGAAACGATTCATATAAAATTACTTATTTTTCTCAAATTGCGAAAGGATAAGTTTTTCTTAAAAAAGGACTGGAAATTTGATAAGACGGCGATGTCAAATATTTAATGGTACTTATGTATATTGGGCCCAAATTTTTCGTATTCAACATTTTGCTTTAAACCGTAATCGGCGTAAAATAAAGTTACGAACGAACGATTTCGTCGAATTTATTTTTGTGATGTTTTGCTATTTGACAGTTCCTTTAATTTAAGTGTGTTTATGGCTCTATCTTTTGACAACATTTTTTGGACCCCCCTATACATATGTATGTAACTATGATGTGCGACGCAGTTGGCGCACAAAGAGTGCAGCAAAATACAAGTGGTGCAACATTATGTAATACAGAATTTACTAAAATCATACCTGTTTTCAACCTTGTGTCGAACAGATCGTCTACATACGTACTTCAAAGGCTCGGTATTTGGCGTTTTATAAAATTTTCCATGATGAGTGCAACTCTAAAAATTATAATTTTTCAACTATCCTTACTTTTCAAGAAAAGTACACAAACCCTCCCCAATTTTAGCTTAGACTCCAACTGCCTGCTCCTCGCTGGTTTAGCGATACATGAAAATTCGTCAAATTTATCTCTTCTCGATTTCCACCGGTATTACGGAGAAAATTTAGCATTCTCTAATAAAAGAAGAATCCCCGTAAAGTTTGTGCTTCCAAGCTACACTCGAAATAAGGACGAGTTTCCCTCGTGGAGACAAAACTGCTTTCAAATCGTGCTATTCGAAGACAATCCCACATATTATGGAAAATACTTTGATGAACTTTTAAACTGGGGAAATCGCAATAACGTCGTCATCTACTTGGCATTGAGCATAACTAGATTTGAAAG